TAAATAAGTACATATCAATAATCACCTTAAACGTAAATGGACTGAATGCTCCCATAAAGAGACACAGAGTAGCTGATTGGATAAGAAAGCATGACTCATCTATAAGTTGTTTACAAGAGACCCACCTCTCAACAAAAGACCCACATAGGTTGAAAGTGAAGGGATGGAAAAAAATTTTCCAAGCAAATGGAAAGCAAAAAAAAGCTGGGGTAGCAATTCTCATATCTGATCAAATAGATTTCAAAATGAAGACCATAACTAGAGACAAAGACGGCCACTACATAACATTGAAAGGATCTATCCAACAGGAATATATAACCTTGATAAACATATATACACCCAATATAGGAGCACCAAAATATATTAAAAATCTTCTGGAGGACTTCCAAGGAGAAATCAACAACAATACAATCATAGCAGGGGACTTCAACACCCCGTTGACAGCACTGGATAGATCCTCTAGGCAAAAAATTAGCAAGGAAACAGAGACTCTAAAAGAAGCACTAGACCAAATGGATTTAATAGATATCTACACAGAATTACACCCCAAAACTACAGAATACACATTCTTCTCAAGTGCACATGGGACATTCTCAAAGATAGACCACATGATAGGACACAAACTAAATCTCTACAAGTTCAAGAAGATTGAAATCATATCAAGCATCTTCTCAGATCACAATGGCATGAAACTAGAAATCAATTGCAACAAGAACATGCAAAGACATTTCAACACATGGAGGCTAAATAGCATGTTATTAAACAATGAATGGGTCACCGAGGAGATCAAGGAAGAAATTAAAAACTTCCTGGAAACCAATGAATATGAACACACAACAACACAAAATCTATGGGATGCAGCGAAAGCAGTTCTGAGAGGGAAGTTCATAGCACTACCGGCCTACCTCAAAAAACAAGAAAAATTTCTAATTGACTGTCTAACCTCACAACTTAAAGAATTAGAAAGCAAATAAAAAGAGCAAGTAGAAGGAAGGAAATAGTAAAGATCAGAGCAGAAATAAATGACATAGAGACCAAAAAAACAATTCAAAGGATCAATGAAACAAAGAGCTGGTTTTTTGAAAAGATAAACAAGATTGATGGACCCTTAGCTAGACTCACCAAGAAACAAAGAGAGAGAACCCAAATACACAAAATCAGAAATGAAAGAGGAGAAGTAACAACCAACACCACGGAAATACAAAAGATCGTTAACAACTACTATGAACAACTATATGGCAACAAATTCGACAATCTAAGCGAAATGGACAAATTTCTAGAAACACACAGTCTCCCAAAACTATTCCCGGAAGAGATAGAAAACTTGAACAGACCAATAACAACTAAGGAAATTGAAGAGGTAATCAAGACTCTCCCAGCAAACAAAAGCCCAGGCCCAGATGGTTTCACGGGGGAGTTTTACCGAACATTCAAAAAAGAACTAACACCCATTCTCCTCAAACTATTTCAAAAAACTCAAGAAGAAGGAAGACTTCCAAACACCTTCTATGAGGCCAGCATAATTCTAATTCCAAAACCAGAAAAAGACACTACGAAGAAAGAAAACTACAGGCCAATATCCCTGATGAACATAGACGCCAAAATCCTGAACAAAATATTAGCAAATCGGATCCAGAAATACATCAAAAAAATTATTCACCATGACCAAGTGGGATTCATTCCAGGGATGCAAGGCTGGTACAATATTCGCAAATCAATAAACGTGATACACCACATAAACAAAATGAAGAATAAAAACCACATGATCATATCAATAGATGCTGAAAAAGCATTCGACAAAATCCAGCATCCATTTCTGATAAAAACGCTCAGCAATGTAGGAATAGAGGGATCATATCTCGACATAATAAAGGCCATATATGAAAGACCTACAGCCAACATCATACTCAATGGGCAGAAACTAAAAACATTTCCATTAAGAACAGGAACAAGACAGGGATGTCCACTTTCGCCACTCTTATTTAACATTGTACTGGAAGTCTTAGCCACAGCAATCAGACATGAAGAAAAAATTAAAGGGATCCAAATTGGAAAGGAGAAAGTGAAACTGTCATTATTTGCAGATGACATGATATTGTACATAGAAAACCCTAAAGACTCCATCAAAAATCTATTAGACTTAATAAATGAATTTGGCAAAGTAGCAGGATACAAAATTAACATGAAGAAATCGACGGCATTCTTGTACATCAATGATGAACTCACAGAAAGAGAAACTGAAAAAACAATCCCATTTACCATCGCTCCAAAAAAATTACGATACCTAGGAATAAACTTAACCAAAGAAGTAAAGGACCTATTTGCAGAAAACTACAGGTCATTGAAAAAAGAAATAGAGGAAGATATAAAAAAGTGGAAGCACATACCCTGTTCATGGATTGGAAGAATTAACATAATTAAAATGTCCATACTACCCAAAGCAATCTATAGATTCAATGCAATCCCCATCAAAATACCAACGACATATTTCATAGAACTAGAACAAATACTTCAAAAGTTCATATGGAACCAAAAAAAGACCCCGAATAGCCACAGCAATCTTGAAAAAGAAGAACAAAGTAGGTGGGATCACAATACCAGATATCAGGTTATACTACAAAGCGACTGTAACTAAAACAGCCTGGTACTGGCACAAGAATAGGCATATAGACCAGTGGAACAGAACTGAAAACCCAGAAATGGACCCAAGGCAATACGCTCAATTAATATTTGATAAAGGTGGCAAGAGCATACAATGGAGTAAAGACAGCCTCTTTAATAAATGGTGTTGGGAAAATTGGACAGCTACATGCAAAAAAATGAAACTAGACCATCAACTTACACCATACACAAAAATAAACTCAAAATGGATAAAAGACTTAAATGTGACCCGTGAATCCATAAAAATTCTAGAAGAAAACGTAGGCAACAAAATTTCGGACATCATACGGAGCAGAATTTTCACTGATACATCACCTAAGGCAACAGAAATAAAGGAAAAATGAACACATGGGACTACATCAAACTAAAAAGCTTCTGCACAGCAAAAGAAACAATCATCAAAATGGAAAGGCAACCCACTGTATGGGAGAACATCATTACAATGATGTATCAGATAAGGGGTTAATTTCCAATATATATAGAGTGCTCATACAACTCCACAAAAGGAAGACAAAGAACCCAATTAAAAAATGGGCAGAGGAGCTGAATAGACACCTCTCCAAACAGGACATACAAATGGCCAAGAGACATATGAAGAAAGGCTCAACATCACTAATCATCAGAGAGATGCAAATTAAAACAACAATGAGGTATCACCTCACACCTGTCAGAATGGCCGCCATCAACAAATCATCAAACAACAAGTGTTGGCGAGGGTGTGGAGAAAAGGAGACTCTAATACACTGCTGGTGGGAATGCAGACTGGTGCAGCCACTATGGAAAACAATATGGTGCTACCTCAAAAAATTAAAAATTGAACTTCCATTTGACCCAGTGATCCCACTGCTGGGAATATACCCTAAGAAGCCTGAAACACCAATCAGGAAGAATATATGTACCCCCATGTTCATAGCAGCACTATTTACAATAGCTAAGATCTGGAAACAGCCCAAGTGCCCACCAGTAGACGAATGGATAAAAAAGCTGTGGTACATATACACAATGGAGTACTATGCAACTGTAAGAAAGAAAGATCTCTTATCCTTTGAGACGACATGGAGGGACCTGGAAAGTATTATCCTAAGTGAAAGAAGCCAAGCAGAAAAAGACAAATACCACATGATCTCACTTATATACAGAATATAATGAACATAACAGTCTGAGGAATACAGTAGACCCAGACACATGGAAGTAGGGCACATACCGACATCCCTCAGAAGAGGGCATGGGGGGTGGGGGGGTGGGAAGAGATAAACCACAGAACTTATATGCATGTATGCATGACCAATGGACATGGACAACTAAGCCGGGGACAGGGTGGAGGGGAGGTGGGGTGGGGTGGGGGGTGCCAATGGGGTAAAAAGGTAAAATATCTGTAACAAAAAAATAAAAATTCATAAAAAAATAAAAAAAAATAAAAAAATAAAAATTACATATATCAAAAAAAAAAAAAATGCACTTTAAATACAAAGACTCAAACAGGTTGAAAGTAAATGAAAAAAGATGTCCCATACAATCACCATAAGAAAACTATAATGATTGCACTGATACAAGATTAAGTAGACATTAAGAAAAACAATATTGCCAGAGATAAACAGAAATATCTCAATGTGAAAATAAGATACTCATCAGGAAGATATAACAATCATTTATGAATGTATACACCTAATTACAAAGTGTAAGATACACAAAGCAATATTTAACAGAATTAAAGGAAGGATTCAATAGCAACTGATAAAACTGGACAAAATGTCAAGTCAGGCCATCAATAATCTAAACACTATCAACTACCATAATTGATATTTATAGAACACTATATCCAATAACTTACAAAATGAATGCTCTTTTCAAGTGCAAATAATATGTGCACCAGTATTCAACATATCCTGGGCCATAACACAATAAACTTTAAATGACTGAAATCACACAGATATATTCAGACACACATACACACATTCATCCTTACACATTCTCTCTGGGTTTGTCCTGACCTCCTTTGAACACCTATTGATAATGACACAAGACACTGGTCCATGGTAGAAGGGAAGCTGCAGGTGAATCAGAACATAGATCATCTGCTATGACAAGCCAAGAATTGATGGCAAATATAAAAACTTTGGATAAGTATGCAATTTTTTCTAAGTGGAATACTATAAATTTCTAATTAAATATTAGTCACTACCCAGATGAGACCATGTAGAAAATATAAGAATACTCTCCCAACTTTCTGTTGAAACATCTATTTTGTCTTTTACAGAATTCCTCATGGAAATCTGAAGTTCTCTTCCAACAACCAAACTTGCCCCATGAAAATGTTCTAATCAACATGACACAGTAACCTGGTAGTTGAGGCCGTCCCAGGTTTTTCGCAACTGTAACTGATCTTCAGTCAGCTCATCCAGATTCCTTTTCATCAACAGGATGTCCAAAACTGGTTTTTTTCCTTCACTGAAGGACTCCAAAAAGGACAGCAGGCCCTACAATTAGAAGAATATTTTAAAGACTGAAATGTTTAAATTTGTTTACAAAATGTAACCTGCAGTTATAAGGTCCATAGCTATAGGTTATATTTAAATTTTTACCTAGATAAAGGTAAAATTCCCTAAATTCAGGATCCCTTCACTGACCCAGTTTTTCTTCAGTGCACCCTGATAATTCAGGTGCTGGCATAGTGACATAGGTCGCAGACTGGTCTCACGTCAGTACTATTGGATTTCTACTGGAATGGAGAGGCAAGGACACTCAGCTCTAAAGGACAAGTCAGGATGCCACATGAAAAATGTGAGTTTGTTTGTCCTTCCCAAATATGTACTCACAAAAAAATGAGAGAAAGTGAGAATTACATGACAGCAGTCATCATGTATAAATGGTTTTTGAGGTGCTTATGATTAACTAAGTTTGAACCAATTCTTCTCAAGTGATTTCATACAGACTAGAAAAGACTTTGTCTAGCCTAGCCAGTGTGGCTCAGTGGTTGAGTGCTGACCCATGCACCAAGAGGTTGCCGGTTCGATTCCCAGTCAGGACACATGCCCAGATTGTGGACCCAATCCCCAGCAGGGGTGGGGCATGCAGAAGGCAGCTAATCGATGTTCTCTTTCATCGATGTTTCTATCTTTCTCTCTCCCTCTCCCTTCCTCTCTAACATCAATAAAGAAAAAAAAAAACTTTGTCTCTGCCCTAAAATTTTTAATAAAAAAACTTTTCTTGGTTCATATTTGTGTGAAATACTGATGCATTAGTCATCAATTCCATAAAACATTATCTACCATTATTGGCAGTATTTTAAATTAAATTTTATGAGCAAACTGAAGAAAATTTATTTATTTATTTACTTATTTATTTAAATATGTTTTTATTGATTTTTTTTTTTTAGAGAGAGAGGAACGGAGAGATAGAAACATCAATGTGCACTCCTCCTACTGGGGACTGAGCCCACAACCCAGGCATGTGCCCTGACTAGGAATCAAACCGGGACCTTTCAGTCCATGGGACGACCCTCAATCCACTGAGCCACACCAGTCAGGCATGGGATAATTATTTTAATTTTTTCTGATATTTATTAACTTCATAAAGCCTTTTAGTTAAAGCTGAATTGGGCCCTGTCAGCGGTTAGAGCGCTGGCCTGCGGTCCAGAGAGATCCGGGTTTGGTTCCCGCTAAGGGCACGTACCTTGGCTACAGTTTGTTCCCGGCCCTGGTTTGGTCGTGCGGGTGGCAGCCACTCCATGTGTCCGTTTCACATCGATGTTTCTCTCTCTGTCTCTCTCTCTCCCTCCCTCTCCCTCTCTCCCTCCTTCCCTCCTTCTCTCCCTCCCACTCTATCTGAACAAAAAAATGGAAAAAATGTCCTCAGGTGAGGATATAAAAATAAAAATTAAAAAAGCTGAATCGGTGGTAGATTAGTAAATCAAAGACATGAGAGAGCAAAGGACTTCACTGGACGCTGCGCATCCTGTCAATGAACAACGTAGCAGAGTGAAGAGGGAAAAAGAACAAGAAGTCTGCGCAGTCAGACGGAAGAAAGGTGAGAATGTCTGAGCCCTTCCTTCCCCAATGGCTCCAAACCAAAAAGGATGGTGTGGTGGGCAGGTCACACAATCCACTGAATGTCAGTGTTGGAAAGGCTGGATTGATCCAACTTCCTCACTTAACAGAGAGAGAAATGGAGGCCTGGAGGGGCCAAGTGCTATGTAGGGACATAAGAGCATCTCCGCCTTACTCAGGAGTAGAACTGGGGAGCACAGAGTTACAGGGACAGTGGGCTCTAAGAAAACAGGACTGTGGAACCTTCACTTTGGTTCCTGTTGGTAATTGTAGGATGGCCCCATTCCCGATTTCCTGACTTTTCTTTCATTCATTACTCATTCTAGAAAGCATGTTCTGCTCTAGACCAGGGATTGGAAGTTTTTTACTGTAGAGGCGAGAGAGTAAATATCTTCAGCTTTGTGGACCAATGGTCTTGGTAACAACTATTCTACTCTGGCATTGTAGCATGAAAACAGCCACAGACAATCCTTTAATGGTCGTGGCAATCTTCCAATAACACTGTATTTACAAAAACAGGTGGTGGGGTCCACAGACCAGTTTGCCAATCTTCGCTCTCTAGACCTTGCTACTCAAGCCCTGGCCAGTGTGGTTCAGTGGGGGCATGTGCAGGAGGCAACCAATCGATGTGTCTCTCTCATATCGATATTTCTCTCGCCTCCATCCCCCACCCCCCATCCCCACCCCACTCTCTCTAAAAATCAATGGGAAAAATATCCTCAGGTGAGGATTAACAACAAAAATAAATAAATAAAACCTTGCTACTCAAAGTACTCTTGAACCCAGCAGCATCAGTACCACCTGAGAGCTTATTAAAAATGCAGAATCTCAGGCCCACCCCCAGAACCACTGAATTTGAATGTGCATTTTAATAAGATCCCCCAGGTGATTCATACGCACATTAAAATTTGAAAGTCTTAGCCCTGGCCGGATTGGCTCAGCAGGTTAGAGCGGATAGAGTGTCGACCTGCGGTCCAGAGACCCAGGTTCAGTTCCCGCTAAGGGCTTGTACCTCAGTTGCAGTTTGTCCCCAGCCCTGGTTGGGTCGTGAGGGAGGCAGCCACTCCATGTGTCCCTTTCATGTCAATGTTTCTCTCTTTCTCTCTCCCTCCCACTCTATCTGAACAAAAAATGGAAAAACGTCCTCAAGTGAGGATTAAAAAAAAAAAAAAAAATTTGAAAGTCTTAGAATTCAGCCTTAAAACTTGTTAACTTAGTATTTAAATAATTAACTCTGAAAGATTTTTTCTAAAAACAGACTAAAAACATCCTTTACTCCATAAAAGTAAACTACAAATACATGGGCATTTAAAGACATACTTGGCATTAATAATAGTAATACCTGCTGATGAGAATTAAATGAGTTAATATATTTTTAAAAAACAAACATCATACTTACTTCATACTTTTTACAGTAAGTCTCATTTTCTGAATCCCTTAGTATCTTCTGCAGTTTTTCCTTTTGTAGAGTTAACCAGACCATGGCATCTTTCATCTTCTCCTGAAATTCACACACGCACACACACGCACACACAGGCACACGCATTTAAAACTCTATACTAAATGGACTTGGTTGTTTTTTTTTTTAACAATAAAATGAACAACTTCAAATATCAGCGAAATACTGCAATCAGTACACACCAGTGATTCATTGTGCCAAAGAGAAGATCTGCTTGTTAACATAACACCTTAAATTTTAAAATGAACTGAAACTAGCATCTGAAGATTATATGCTAAAACAAAAACAAAACAAAACATAGCAAACAAGCCCCCTATTTTTTTCTGCCTTATCCATTTCCCTTGTTCTTCAGTTTTAGAGAACACTATTCTATGTTACTTATTTATAATAGGGATTTGAGAATACTGCTTTCCAACTGAGGGGAGTCAAACTTTTGCCACCCCAAAATATGCCTTATGTCATATTGATTTTAAGCTGGTTAATAAGAAACAAGATCCAGAAAGAACCTTTGACTCTCCCACTTACCTGTCTAAAGGATTCAGATAGGAAAACCTGTTCAAAGGAAGAACTCATCACCTTAGCATCACCACAAAAAGTAAATGTAGCAGACAGAAAAAAATCTAGCAAAGCCTGTTTGTTAGACTCCCCTCTGTATCCCATTGTTTCTGGGTGGCCCAGCAAGAACTGTTTACCATACATTTGCTCTTTTACCTCTACCCATAAATTGCCTGCCTTCCTTGAATATGCCAGTCCCCTCCCTCCCTCTCCTTTCTCCAGAATGGCATAAATGGTGTAAAAAGTCAAAGGAAAAAAGTGAATAATTAAATGGCAATCTGATGGTAATTCAAAAGTATCTCAACAAATAAGAATTAAGAGTAGAACACAATGCTTCCACTTTTATGAACTACATAATTCAATTTATATAGAAATAAAGAACAGGTAAAATAGAAATATGGTAAAATGAGATTGTGGTGATGGTTGCACAACCTTGTCAATATGCTAAAAATCATTGAATTGTAATTTTACATGGTTTAATTTTATGGTATGTAAATCGTACCTCAATAAAGCTGTTAAAAATTAGAATAAACATGTTGCAGGAGTGAAGGGAACCAGGTTTGCTAAAGTAATTGTGGTGATAGAGAAATGCATTAGCCTCAGAAGCTACTGAGGTGGTTCACTCTATCTTAATACAGTATAAAAAAATAAAAAAAAATTAGAATAAACAAAAATTTGATAGTGCTAGAATTTTTAAAAGCCTGCTAATTTAATTTGTACCATATAGGGTCTATCTAAAGTTCCTTTAGGTAATTCAGCAAAGTTTAATAAATTACCACTTTCAACTTAAGAACAGACAAGAGCATTTGAGATCTTGCTCCCTGATACTTGTTGTCAGTTTGGCACAAGTAAACTCTTATAAAAGTTAACCAAAAAAAAAAAAAGCCTGAAAAAACTAAACTATAGTGAAAGAAACTGGAATACTGGTTGCATGGGTGGGGACTACAGACAGGAAAGAGGCACTGTGGAACATTCTGGGTAATAGAAATGTATTACATCACAATTGAAGTAAGGTTTATGCTGTATATGCATTTGTCAAGACCCCTAAAACTGCACATTTAAGTTCTATAAGCAAATTTTACCTCAATTTAAAAAATTAAACCATTAGTAGGGTATGACAAACATAAGCTTGATTTGTACTTATAGACATACCTTGGCTTTATCTCCAGTCGCAGGTGCATCCTTTGAATACTGAAGAAACTGTGCCACGTAGGTCATGATTGACTTTTCGTCAGGACTGACAACATCCACATCTGCAAGATATGCCACACTATCACTAAGATATAGAAGTGATTTACTGTAATTAATACTCAAGAACAGGCTATGTCATACCAGCCCTGAAATGAACCGAAGTAGTCAACCAGCCAGGCAACCTCTGGTCACTCGCCCTTGCTCTGAAACCGCAGTGGCGAAGAGTCAAACAGCCAGCTCAGTCCTGGCAGCTGAACAGGCACAGCCTCAGTGACTACTATGCATATGGTATGCAGGAGAGCGCAGCAGGGAGAGAGGGTGGAAAGGAGAAAAGAAAGCCTTCCTCTTTCCAGAGACACAGTACAGAAACTCCGCCAGGAGTACAGAAACATAAAGCAGCTGGAATCCTGACACACTCGTCTCAGCATGTACTCGGCAATGCTTCTCCAAAAGTATGCACCATAAGAAAGACTTGCTCAAGACATCCGCAAGATTTTAATCATTCATTCACGGAGCAAATATATTCACTGAAAGCCTTCTATGGGCCAACTTCTGTGTTGCATTGACAGAACCCATGGTGAAATAAATTTGGAAAATGCTGAATTAAACAAAAATTGGAAAAAAAAAATTATAAATTCTTTAAGTGCAGAACTTCCTCAGACATATAATAAGTTAGGTAGGTCACAAAATCACAATGAAAGAATTGCAATATGTCACAGACAAAAGGAACAAATAATTTTGGGATGTCTTTTGGTATGTTCCCAAAACAATCAATGAAGATTATTAAAAAAAAAAAAAAATCTTCTGTTTATTAATTCAGTTAAACTCAATTCAATAAATATTTATAGTGAGCCAACAAATGCAAGTCCAAGAAGGGCCTACTGTACAGCTCAGTCCTTCCATCCCTTTAATCACTCATCGAGCAGATGACAGACACTGGAGTAGATGCCAGGAGCCTTAAGACATCTTCCCTTCAAGGAGCTTCCAGTTAGGAGAAAAACAAACAGCAAACACTGCACACTATACAAAGACCCAACGAGTACACTCAGTCAGCTAAAGGAGAAAGTAAGTCTAATTTCTAGACAAACAATAAAATTCAAGGCAATAAGCATATAAATATCAAGAGATACATAAAATAATGATATTGGCTTAACTATTTTTTTTTTTTTTATCCTCACCCGAGGACATTTTTCCATTTTTTGTTCAGATAGAGTGGGAGGGAGAGAGAGGAAGAGAGAGAGAGAAAAAGAAACATCGATGTGACAGGGACACATTGAGTGGCTGCCACCCGCACAACCCAACCAGGGCTGGGGACAAACTGCAACCGAGGTACGTGCCCTTAGTGGGAACCGAACCCGGGGTCTCTCTGAGCCGCAGGCTGATGCTCCAACCACTGAGCCAAACCGGCCAGGGCTTAACTAGCTATATTTTAATTCATTCTATATGAAGCTATGCATAATGATTAAATGTTTTAACAAAATTGTGTCAAAAGATAATTCTCATTCAAATATGACTATGGTATTTGGTTTGCATAAATAATCATGATATATTTCACATTCTTTATCTATTATTTAAGCTATTTAAAATGAATTATGGGCAATCATTCACAGAGTAGAAATTTGTTTTTATTATATTAGCTATTTTATTAATTGTCTAGTTATTTTCACACATTAAAATAGACAACAAATTTTGTACTAATAATAAAGATTTGGAGACTCGTCCTGGCCGGTTTGGCTCAGCACGTGATCTCACTTATTTGTGCAATATGATGAACAGGGAGGGCTGATGAACGAAGAGGACCCAGAGACATAGAAAAGAGTATGGTTCAGACTGACAAACCTCAGAGTAGGGGGGTGGGGGGAATGGATGAGATGAACCAAAGAACTTATATGCATAACCAATGGACATAGACAATAATGCTGGGGCGGGGGGGTCTAGGGGGGAAAAAGGGAGAAACATCTGTAACAAATATAATTAGTGAAAATTGAAGAGAAAAAATATTAATAATAAAAACAAGAAAAGAGCCCAGCGGTATGGCTCAGTGGTTGAGCACTGACCCATGCATCAAGAGGTCACCAGTTAAATTCTTGGTCAGGGCACAGCCCAGGTTATGGGCCGAATCCCCAGTGGGGGGCATGCAGGAGGTGGCCAATCGGTATTCTCTCTCATTGATGTTTCTGTCTCTCTCTCCCTCTCCCGTCCTCTCTCTCTAAAAATCGACGACGACGAAGAAGAAGAAGAAGAAGAAGAAGAAGAAGAAGGGAAAGAGAGAGAGAGAGAGAGAGAGAGAGAGAGAGAGAGAGAGAGAGAGAGAGAGAAAGAAGAAAGAAAGAAAGAAAGAAAGAAAGAAAGAAAGAAAGAAAGAAAGAAAGAAAGAAAGAAAGAAAGAAAGAAAAAGAAAGAAAGAAGCAAGCCAGGATCTGAGAGAAAAAGTTAAGAATTAATAACAAGCAACATGGGACCAGACTAATGGCAAATCTGATATATAGGGAAATGGAATCCTTGTGAACGTAGAAATATCACCTAATTCAACTCCTAAAAACAAATGAAGTCCAAAAAGGCTAAGTATCCATAGCAATGAGCACACCGTTCTCCAGTAGAAGGAACCAGGGGTCATTAGAGAAGTGGCTGACCCCAGGACTAGGGTAGAAAATACACAAGATAAGCTCAGAGAACCTGACAGTGCTAAAAAGTAAGTACATGCCCCAAAACAAACAAGCAAACACCACATTAATGAAGATGTGTCAAAAGAGCACAGGATACTATTAAAAGAGATCCCAATGACCAAAACTTTGAGGTTTAAAATTTTTTTTTTTAATTTGAGCAATAAAGTGGTATTCGATACAACCCAAAGTATAAAATATCCATGAGTCCATACTGATATAAATAAATGGTTAATAAATAAATAAATGGAGAACAGACAAACCTCCTGTGCAGAATTCCAAGTAACTTTAGATAACCTGCCTTCAAGGAAGGCGAATATAACTGTCCAGAGTATGGGCTGCACACAGAGACGTCCACATAAAGAGTACAGTACAGAGAGGAAGCAAAGAGTAACTGAAGTTAACTAACTGGCAGAAATTCTTAATTTCACAAAATGTAGTAAAGAGTTTACGTTAGACTCTCCAGGACTAAAAGATTATGCTGTCCTGTTTGCTTCTATATAGATACTAATATTTTTAAATCAACTTCACACCTGACATTGTTTTAAAAAAAGAAGCTTCTTTACCTTCTGGTTCCAGCAATTTGGGAATTTTTAATTCTTGTTCTGCAATTCTGAAGGCCTCTCTCAGATTGTCTTTGTTGGATCTATGTTTCACACTCTTCATGTCAATCAGGTCTGGTCGCAAGGCATGAATGACAGCCAAAAAAGCCATCCCATTTCTCCAGCTTGACTTAAAATCGGTCACACTGACAGACTCATGCCTATCACAAGAGGACAAAAACATGATACATACTATTTAAAAGAACATATCAATACAACCCCACTCTCTTCAACAGTAATTAAAACAAATTTGAGTGAATCAAATAAATCATAACTCATCCTGGGAAAATGATTTATCTTAATCTTGTGGTCTAATTGAAGTTAAATGCCAAGTTTGATGAGGCTGACAATACTCCAGAACATTGGTTCTCAAAGTGTGGCCCCTGGACCAGCAACAGCAGCAATACCTAGGCTGCAAATGCTAGAAATGCAAATTCTCAGGCCCCACCCCAGACCTACTGAGTCAACTCTAGAGGTGGACCTGAAGTCTGTGTCTTTCAAAGCCCGCCAAGTGACAACGATACTCAAGTTTAACGCTCCTCACTCAACAATCTGTTGGCTCAGGACTGACTTTGAACCTCTACATATAGTTAAGTTCCTGTCACAAGGGGAAACAATTTTCCTCCTCAATGGAACAAATTAAATGATATATTATGGCAAAACAGTGGCCAATAGCTCACTGGATACATAGACCTTGTCACTCCTCTGCTTAAAACTGGTCATCAGCCCTGGCCGATTTGGCTCAGCAGTTAAGGTGTCGATACAAGAACTCTTCAGTTCAGTTTCGGTCCCTGGCCGCAGTTGGGGTTGTGCGGGAGGCAGGCTATTGATGTGTCTCTCTCACATCGATGTTTCCACCTCCCACCCCTCACTCCATCTGAAAATAAGTGGAAAATATCTTTGGGTGAGGATTTAAAAAAAACAAAACTGGTCATCGCAGATGAATGGTTAAACAAAATGTAGTGTATACATACACTGGAATATTATTCAGCCCTCAAAAGGAAGGACATTCTGACACATGCTACAATATGAATAAACTTTGTAGGTATTATGCTGGTGAAATAAGCCAGTTACAAAAGGACAAATACTTTATAATTCTACTCATTTAAGGTACTTAAAATAGTGAAGTTCATAGATTCAAAAAGTAGACCGCTGGTTGCCAAAGGTTGAGGAGAGGGAGAAATGGGGAAGTTGCTTAATAGATAAAAGAGTTTTAGTTTAGCAAGATGAAAAAAGTTTAGAGCTAGACAGTGGTCATGGTTGCACAACAATGTACTTATTGCCACTAAACTATACATTTCAAATAGTAAATCTTAAAAAACATATTTTAAAAATAAATCTCTTTTCTGCTTAAAAAAAATGGTAAATCTTATGTGTATTTCACCACAATAACAAAATTGGGGGGGGGGTGGCATTGTAGTTTGTCATTGTATGTAAAACACCATCTCTCACTTGGGCCCACAAAGCTTTACAAGCTCTTGCCCTGCCTCCCTCTCCCGCCTTTGTCTCTCCCCTTCCTTACAATGTGTTAGCCACACCGGCCTCATTCCTGTTTTTCAATAATCATGCTCTTTTGTTTTGGAGGCGGGCATTTGATAAATGTATGTGTGTGTGTGTTTCAATTATAGTTTATATTCAATATTATTTTGTATTCGTTTCAGGTGTACAGCACAGAGGTTAGACAATCATACACTTTACAAAAGTGTTCCCCCTGATATTTCCAGTACCCTAATGACACCATACATAGTTTTTACAATCTCATTGCCTATATTTCCTATGCTGTACTTTATATCCCCAAAGTCATGCTCTTTTTAACCCTTCTGGCAGAAAGCTCTTTCTTCCAGATCGTCATACACCTGAAGCCTCAGCTCAAAGGTCTGCTCCTCAGAAAGCTGCTCCATACCCACCTAAGACAGATGACCCTGTTCCTATGCTTGATGCTCTCACTGTAAGTCCTTCCCAATCTTACTGCCAACTAATTATCATATTTACTCACTTGCTTCCCCCACTACGGTGCTTTGTCTTTCTTGTCCATCATAGTAGACTCAACCCACAAACAACAGCTGGTATATAAAGGTGCTTAATATATATCAAATTACTCAAACTATCTATCTATCTAACAAGGAAATCATTACTTTGTATTTGACAAGGGATGAAGATATTATGAAACAGTATAGCTGCCTACAAAGTATGGGAAATATTCCAGGACAACTATAGTTTCCTTTAATATCCTATAAAAAACACAAGAAAATTCAGTGGACTAATTTAAGGTATAAATCAAATTGTAAAAGCTACTCAAGAAAGGCTGCTTCAGACGACCTGGGCTTTCCTTAAGAAACAAAGCCTAGCCTTGGCCGGTTTGGCTCAGCAGTTAGAGCATCGGCCTGTGGACCAGAGAGTCCCGGGTTCGGTTTCCGCTAAAGGCACGTACCTCGGCTGCAGTTTGTCCACGGCCCCGGTGTGTGTCGCAACCACTCAGTGTGTCTCTCTAACATCGATGTTTCTCTCTCTCTCTTCCCCGCTCTCTCCCTCCTGCTCTATCTGAAGATAAATGCAAACAAAAATGTCCTCGGGTGAGGATTAAAAAAAAAAGAAAAAGAAGCAAAGAAACAAAGCCTAAATTATGACCATGATAAACGACATAGTAGTTTGTGATTTTTGTCCTAACAAATGCTTATGAGATATCTACTGTGTCCAGAAATTGTTCCAAACGCTTTTAAAAGAAAAGAATTATTATAGTCTACATTTTATGACTGAGTAAATGCAAACATGAATTGTCTAAGGTCACCAGTTAGAAGGGCTGGAAGCCATGACTCAAATTCAGGTATTCCAGCTTCAGAGTGTGCACTTAGACACTAAACTAAAGTGACAGCTAAAGGGACAGGGGCTGGGCTAAGGGCAGGGCCAGACCACCTTCAGAGAGCTGAGAGGTCGAGCCAGCTCAGTGCTAACTGGCAGGCACCGTACTCAATAAAGCACCAGGCTACGAGGTCAGCTCTGCACTGAGGAGCAGACACCAGTGCCACAAAGAACATGCTGCTGCCAGGTCTCAGCAAGGGCGGGGTCAGGCTCCCAGGTGACCGGTAGGATCTGGTAGGAAGTCTCAAGTGGGAGCCCCACTTATCTCCTTCAGATATAAGAAGACGTAATGTTTCTTACAACACAGCCATATATCTGAGTCCTAGATAATCACAGAACATGGAAATAAAAGTTACCTAATAACATGACCAATGGTGGCCAAACGTAGGACAAGCTCCTGATGAATTACTTAATAATTAATTACTACATCTTAGTAGGTTTAGCATAAACTCTATAGTTGAAAATAGAGGAAGGGCATACATACATATGTTTGAGTCCCTCACAGAACAGAGGATGAATGACACCTTCATCTTTCACTAGGAAGGACCTACTGAAAAACCCAACATTCTCTGAAAGGGCTTAGAAAATATTTATCCATTTATGCAGACAACACTACGATGTGACAAGGAACGCCTATTGAAGTGCACAGCTCTTCTCGTGGTGAGTTCTCCTGCTTCCTAACTCTTCACTTCTCCTAACCTCCATCCCAGGAGTTGGTTAAAATGAAAAAGCAAATGTCTCCCAAGATTAAAAAAAAATCTTTCTTTGTTTAAAAAAAAAAATTTTAAGTGCTAACTTCCCTTCATCACCCCCTTTTAAAAAATGTACACTCTCTTGTCTCTTTGTTTCCTAACTGAGCTCTGAGTTTCTAAACAACGGGAACTGTGGTCTTTTAATGTCATCACATACAGTTCCAGGAGATAATTTTATAAATTGGTTAGCTAGTCACTTATTTGTTCATTCATCCATTCAGCGCACACTTATGGAGCACTTACTATGAACTCACATTATGCTTAGTTCTAAGGATACACAATCAATTAGGACATAGTCTTGGCTTTTAAAGATCTCTTAGTGTGGTAAAACTTTTTAATCTAAGCCCACCTTCCAGATGCATATGGGAATTGTGCCTAAAGACAAGGATATTGAAAACCCATTTTGTTTGCACACCATAAGAGGCCACCTATGCATGCGGATGGGAGTGAGGTAAGTCACCAGGTGATACCACCTTCTGGTCTTCAAAAGAAGGAGTGGCTGAGCTCATGTACTTTACATTTGGAAGACGCACCGAGAGAAAGGGGGTAGTGAGTATTCCTTTTTATGAGAGGGAAGTGTTCAGGTGGTGTTACACCCAGTTGGCCTGAATTTCAGACATAGAGGTCAGTAACATTGTGTTGGTGGGTACAGCTGCCCTGTGCGTCTCCTCTGATGGTACCAAACTACTTACGTGGCACACTGTTCCTGAGCCCACAAGAGGAGAGCCTTCTTTGCAGACATCTGCCACCTTTCTTGGGCTTTGGAGCATTTCTTAGCTGGAGGACTTGAGGTAGGAGATGTCTCAACCACACTCGCATTATCCACAGAAGATTGATTGTAATTGCAAGAAAGAGCCTGGGCAAGTTCCTCAATCTAAAGAAGACATAGTAATAGTTAACGTATACGGGATCATAATTTAGCACAGCACTGAGGCAAAACCGTCAGCCAAAACAAGACCTAAGAAATATCATATACTAGCGACAGTTCACTTGTGGTGAAATGAGAACTAGCCAAATCCTCAAATAATGGCATCTACCATCTGGTGCTACACCCTGCATTTCTTGCAGCGGAGTTGGGTCACTCTTTGCCCTCGTCAGGCATGGCGTTCCACATCGAGGGCCAGCATCTATTCACCCCTGCAAAGTGCTTACAGAGTGTTTTACTGTTGCTTAACATCTGTCAATCTACACTGACAGAACTAAATTGAGCTCCTAGTCCAGAGTATCTTCAGAGATTGGGTCAATTAAAATGTTATCTTTGAGTATAAACCATTAAGTAATAAATATGCATAAAGGAAAAAAAGTCAAAACACATGGACAGTTAAGTCCCAGGAAAGAGAAAAAAATACCATTGTGTATATGAAAATAACTTCATTCACCATTTAAGAATCTAAACATACACAGCAAGAAAACAATTTTTCACATATAACATGGTCAAAAAAATTTAAAAGTTAGCAACCAGTAATGGTGGGAATATTAAAAACTGGATATTCACATATTGCTGGTAAACACGAAAACTGGTTCAGATTTTTTGGAGGGTAATATAATAGCTGCGAAAAACTTTAAGTGATAAATCCACAAACACAGAAATATACTTCTCTTAATAATTGACAGATTCACCAGACAACCAATAATAGTAGATATGACCAACACAATGAACAAATGTCAACTGATTGGCATTCTCCGTTGTACCTAAAATGGCAGAATCCACATTCTTTTCAAGTGCATATAAATTATTTACTAAGATTGACCATGTTGAGCCAGTAAGCAAGCCTCAACAATTTCGAAGAACTGAAAGCAAAGATTATATTCTCTGACCAGGTGGGAATTAAGCTAGAAATCAGCAACAAAGATATAAAAAACAAAGACCCACGTATTTAAAAATTAAGCAACAGCTTGTCATAGAACCCATAGTTAAATGAGAAATCATAATGAAAATTAGAAAAGTATTTTGAACAGAATAATGAAAATATTATATTCATGGATTAAAAGGTAAAATATTTTAAAGATGTCAACTTTTTCCAAATTGTTCTGCACATTCAATACAATCCCATTAAAATTACAGTACAAGAAAAAATTCCAGTAGATTGTGTATGTAAATTAATAATCTATTTATAAAATATATATAAATATCAAATCAACATGTTGTATACTTTAAACTTATTCAATGGTATATGTCAATTACATCTCAGTAAAAAATGTATATGAAAATGCACAGAGCAAAGTGTAGCCAAGATAATCTTGAAGAACAATTTGGACAACCATACTATCAGATATCAAATTTTACTACATAGCCACAGAAATTATGTAATAGAATATTGGTGCAAGGATAAATAACAGAACAGCATAGACTGTCTGACAGCGGAGCCACACGTGTGGTTACTTGATTTATGAAGGTAATACTACAGTACAGTAGGAAAATGATGGTCTTTTCAGTAAACAGTGTTGGGTCAACTGAACAGCTATGGAAAAAAGTAAATTGTGATTGCTTTAACTTAATATACCCCCCAAAACTCACTTCGCCCTTGAAAAATTATAAATCTAAATGTAAAATGTAGAGCAATTTGGCTTTTAGGACGGTGCTGTCCAATGAGAGCCACTAGCCACATGTGGCTATTTAAATTTAAATTAATTAAATAAGATTTAAAATTTTGTTCCTCAGTCATAAGAGCCACATTTCAAGTGTTTAATAGCCACAGTGGCTAGTGGCTGCTGCTTTCTACAGTGCAGCTACAGAACACTTCCATCGTTACAGCAAGTCCTAATGAACAGAACTATTCTAGAAAATAATGTAAGAAAATATCGCTATGATGTTGGCGAAGGCAAAGGAAAAGGTTTCTTTAAAGGACATAAAATTCCTAGGAACCACCCCCCAAGTTGATAACTTTGAACTACATTGAAATTATGAGTGTCTGTTCCTTAAAAGATTAAAAGGGGGAGTCATACAGTCAGAGAAGATATTTGCGGCTTATATACACCCAACAAGGATGTGTACACAGAATATATTTTAAAACATCCATAAATCATTACACAAAACAGTATAGCTAAAATAAAATCTTAAGGTCAAGTATTAAGATTAGAGCAAAGAACTCTCAAACTCTGGTGACAGTACAAATCGGAACAAGTTAGAAAAACTATTTGGCAGTACCTTCTAAAGCTGAAGATTACACACCCTATGGACCAGCAACTCCATTCCTAGACAGAGCATATGCAACAGAACTGAGGGCACATGCAGGAATGTTCCTAGTAGTTTTATTCATAATAGCTAAAAACTGGCAACAAAATATATGTCCATCAGCAACACCCTTCAAGAGGATGAATCTCATGGCCAAGATGTTAAGTGAAATAAGTCGCACACAAAAGAGGATCTAGTCCTGGCCAGTTTGGCTGAGTGGTTAGTGTTGGCCCGCGGACCGGAGAGGACCAGGTTCTGTTCCTGCTAAGAGCATGTACCTTGGATGCAGTTTGTCCCTGGCCCCGGCTGAAATCGTGTGGGTGGCAGCCACTCAATGTGTCTCTCTGACATCAATGTTTCTCTCTCACTCTTCCTCCTTCTCTCCCTCCTGCTCTATCTGAAGATAAATGCAAAAATGTCCTCAGGTGAGGACAAAAAAAAGAGAGAATCTAGTGTATGCAAGAGAATTCAGTTATAATTCCTTTTATATGAAGTTAAAGATGCTACACTAATCAATGACAAAGATCAAAGTAGTGGTTATCTTTAGGGAAGGACGGCAGTGACTGGGAGAAGCACCTGGGCACTCTGGGATGTTGGCCGTGTTCTGTATTTTTATCTTGGTCGTATGGTTACATGGATGATTTGTGTGTTATACTTCAACAAATGTTTATTTACAATATTAAAACAAAACAAGAAAAAAGCTTTAATTTTGCAAACCTTATGACCCAACAATCCCACTTCTAGGAATTTGGTCTATGGAAATAGTTACAATTATGTGCAAAAGTTTTATCTTAAGGTAGTCTTTATGGAATTACTTGCAGTCACAAAAAAATTGTGAGCATTCTGACTGTTCATTACTGAAGTACAATACTTTAAAATAGAATGCCATGCTTCTATTAAAATATATATAAATTCAGCCCAGTCAGTATGGCTCAGTGGATTAAGCATTATCCCATGGACTGAGAGGTCCTGGTTCCATTCCTGGTCAGGACACATGCCTGGACTTTGGGCTCAATCCCCAGTAGGGGGTGCGTAGGAGGCAGCTGATCAATGTTTCTTTCTCACATCCATCTTTCTCTCTCTTTGTCTCTCCCTCCCTCTAAAAAAAATCAATAAAAACATATTTAAAATATGTATATATAAAAATTTCAAGAGGATGTTAATTAGCTCTGGCCAGTTTTGCTCAGTGGTTAGTACCAGCTGGCGGTCCAAAAAGTCTCAGGTTCGATTCCTGGTCAAGGGCATGTACCTGGGTTGCAAGTTCAGTCCCTGGCCCTGGTTGGGGTCATGTAGGAGGCAACCAATTGATGTGTCTCTCTCAGATTGACGTTTCTCTCTCTCTCTCTCTCGCTCTCTCCCTCCCTCCTTCCCTTCCACTCTATCTAAAAATCAATGAAAAAATATCCTCAGGTAAGGATTAACAAAAAGAAAAAAGAAAAAAAAAAAGGATGCTAATTAGAATAGGTTGAAAAAGTATGAAGAGTATGACCTCATTTAAAAAATATACATATATGTATATTAATTCCTGCCACATATGTTAATTCCTGCCACATATATAATGAAGACTTCACAACGAATTACTTACAGTAGTTATCTATAAGTACTAGAATTAAAGATATTTTCTTTTTATTATATATTAGAATTTTAAATTATATTTCAAATGCCCTGAAAATGGAAAATAATATAAATGTCTATGAATTATCAAATTTTAACATTTTATTACATTTGTTTCTTTTTTAAAGAAATAAAACACAGATAAAGTTTAAGCCTTTTGTCTTTTCCTCTTCAATTCCATTTCTCTCCTTTCTGAGAGGGAGAAAACCACAATCCTGAATTTACCTTTCATTACCCTCATGCACATTATTCTAAGATAACTACAAACGTAGGTATCCAGAAATGACAGTCTCATTTTACATGTTCTAAATTTTATATAAGATATGTTACTTTCCAAAACAAGCATTTGTTGCCCACAAAAATTTTTAAGTTATTTTTAAAGGAATTGTGGAGATACGAAACATGGGACTTTCGTGATAAGCTGCAGAAAACCTGCACTAATTCAGAATCCCAGACCTGAAAGAGTAAGTGTCACAAAGCCAGGATTATAACTGTCCTATTCACTGTCATTTTCTTGGTGTCTTAGCACAAAAATTAGCACATAGTTGGTGCTCAAAAATATTTGTGGAATGAAATAAACCTATGAGTTAGTCTTGGAACAGAACTGGATGTTGCAGGATTATTAGTCTGGGCAAGAGTCCTCAAAAATGGGGAGATTTTTACAAAGTTTAGTGGGTTAGTTTTCAAGAATTTAAAACTCTGGGAGCTTTCTACTACTCTCTTTTCCATCCAAGTAAATAAACAATAACAAGGAAAAATTTACCATGACAGGTTCTATTCAGGCTGGTGTTGATATCATTGATAATTCAGGATGTCATGGTAATTCAGTTTTCCATTTTCAATTCAAAAATAACATAAATGGACAAAGAGCTGCTTATATTTTCCACCTGGCAAGATCTCCAGCATGTCCTATTTCTGGAAGAAGCCCAGGAATGAACCTGGCATCAAGTCACACTCACCGCATTACACTTATTTCATACTGTGGTAATTAGAACGGAAATAATTTTCATATCATTGAACTACTTACATGAAAGTGCAGTATAATTATCCAAATCAGGCCAAGAATAATGGATGGGTTCCCCTCTACAATATCAGTAACATGAATATTTATTAGCTTGATCTGGAAAAGAAAAAAAAAATGCAGGTGAAAAGGAGAAAATATTTCGCAGTATTAATCTCTCCGATAAATTTCCAAGTGAAATTCATACTCACTGATCGGCTTCTCAGGAATGTCAGGGCATGTTCTATATTGAGTCTACACTGGAATGTATTAGATCCTTTATCTCGAGGCTATAAAATTCCAGCAAAATATATTCCTCAGAAATATAAATTTTATTTTAAAAGTCAACAAAAAGTTTCTTAATGTCATTTTAAGAGCTTACCAACTGTTGTCCTGAAAGTACTTCTAACAGGTCCAGGAGGACGTGTCCCTTTCGAATGTCTTTGAATAGGTCTGATATAACTGAGGGAGGAGTGTGCTGCAAAAGGTCACAAGAAAAATAATCTCAAACTTCAGTCCAAAACCACGGTACCTGTAAGAATCTCACAAATGTGCATTATATCTTGCAAAAGCTAAGAATTGGTAACAATTTTCTCCGTTTTATTTTAAATTGTTTTTCTTTATTGATTTGAGAGAGAGAGAGGAAAGGAGAGAGAGAGAGAGATAGAAACATCGATGAGAGAGAACATCGACTGGCCGCTTCCTGCATGCCCCCCACTGGGGGTTTGGCCCACAACCTGGGCATGTGCCCTTGACCGGGAATCAAACCAGCAACCTCTTGGTGCATGGGTCAATGCTCAACCACTGAGCCACACCAGCCGGGCATGTGATTTTCTTCTTAATCAACAGAATGATACAAAACATACAAAGTTCCATATCAAACACAATAAGAAAAGTCACGAACCTAATTTATCTCATGGCAAATTTCCAGTAACACTATTTGAGCTTTCACTGACAGCTTTAAACCTGTGTGTAGAGGTGGCATTCCAGACATTTAGAATCAGCCAATAGTGACCCATTTGGGAAGCAGATTATATTTCTACAGTAACCTGTTTATGAATGTACCCTTTTTAGAATTACGAGCCTTGTATTGGCCTGTGAGAAGAGACTCATGCATTTTGTATCTAGGTTATTCCAGGCACTTGGCATCACTGAGAGGCAGACTAACACAGTGATTAAGATCAAGGCCTCTGGGTCCAGACTACCTGGAATTTGTATCCCAGCACCCTCACTTACAAGCTGTGTGACCTTAGCTCTCAGCCTCCGTTGCCTTACTCTGCAAAAAGGAACAACACTGTCTATCTCATAGAGCTGTTGTGAAACCAGTAGTCAGTGCAGGTAGTCCTCAATTCATGACGGTTCGAGTTCGATTTTTCACCTTGACAATGCTGCAAAAGCGATACGCATTCAGGAGAAACCATATGTTGAATTTGGAATTTTGACCTTTTCCCGACTACCCATATGCATCTGATACTCTCTCATGATGCTGGACAGCGGCAGTGAGTCACAGCTCCCGGTCAGCTACGAGATCATGAAGGTAAATAACTGATACTACATAGTGTATTCCTTATGTTAGATGATTATGCTCAACTGTAGGCTAGTGTAAATGTTCTAAGTACATTTAAAGTGAGCTAGGCATTGCTCTGTACACCAAAAAGGTGGCAGGTTCGATTCCCGGTCAGAGTACATACCCAGGTTTCAGGTATGATTACTGGTGAGGGGGTATACTGGGAAACCATAGATGAATCGATGTTTCTCTCTCACATTGATGTTTCTTTCTCTCTCTCTCTCTCTTCCTCTCTCTAAAATCAATTAAAAACAACAACAACAAACATATCCTTAGGTGAGGATTAAAAATAAATAAAGTGGGCTTTGCTAGGCTCTGATGTCTGGTAGGCTGGGTGTATTAAATGCATTTTCAACACAATATTTTCAACTTACAATGGGTTTGTTGGGATGGACCCCATAAATCAAAGAGCACCTATACATTTGAATAACAGGACAGTGTCTAATGCATAATACTCAATTTGTATGAATCATAATTATTATTTCATTTGATAGCAGATTTATTGTTGCTTTAAATACTTTTATAACACCATCTCCCATGTCTTTAACAAAAGTATACCTTTTCTGTGCATTAGGAAAGAATAACAAATACATGAAAACAAGATCAAGGTGACATTTAGCACATGCTTTCAACCTTTTACATGTCACCAGTGCTATTTTGGGGACTCAAACTAAGGCAGTAGGAGAAGTAATTTAAATAAATTTATAGCTGAATTTGCTCTTTTTCCTCACCTTTGCCAACTGTGAATTTATCCAGCAGGTAAAGGTTCTCTTCTGGGTGTCTTCCTGTTCAGCTATTTAAAAAGGACAATAGCAGTTATAAAACAAGCCTCAGATACCATTTGAACAAATCAAAGCTTCAAAGGTCTGTCACTCTGATATGTGTCCGTGTTTCACAATTTTACAGACCTTCAAAGACTTAGTCTAAATTTCAGATGTTCATCCAAGCTATTTTGGAAATAGCTTGTTGATATGAGTTATTTTTTAAAGCCACAAGTTAGCTGACAAGACACAAAGGTTTCTAATACATTTTACTGACAAAAGAATTAAGTCTCTACATGGCCTTAACAGCGCTATACAAGAAACCACAGGCAAAGAGAAGAGTTCGTAACCCAGGAAGACTTGCAATATAAGCCAACACCATGCAGTATTTAAAGAAAAACCCCAGGCCCTAGCTGGTTAGAGCATCGGCCCAAGGACTGAAGGGGTCATACTCTTCATACATTTTTTTCAAACGATTCTAATTAACACCCACTCTCCCATCCTGACTTAGCTGAGACATTGCTTCTCGGAACACTTAAGGAATCATCCACTCCCTCATCTAATAACCTATCACAGCGTTCTGCCTCCAACCTGTCAGCATGGATGAACTAGCCTTGCTCACACCTAAAACCAATCCCTTCACTCATTCATCGGATCCCAACCCTTTAAAGCTGCTCAAGGATATTTTGTTCCTTTCTCTCCTGTATCATCCTCTTTTTTTCCTCTCTGTCTTGGACCATTCCCATGAGTCTAGATCCATGCAATTAATTCACCAATCTGGAGACAATAACAGAAACAAACCTCCTCGGCCCCAGCTCCCCCTCAGTTAGTGCTTCGTTTGCCTGCTGCTCCCTGTGGCAAAACTGCTCAAGCAGAGTTGTTTCTGTTCACCGTCCCTAGGTCCCCTCCTTCTCTATTAACAGAACCCACACCAACCAGGCCCTCGCTGTTCCACTGAAACTACTCTCTCATCAAGATCACCATGAATCAAGGTCATCAATGACTAATCACGAAAACCACTGGTCGATTGTCAGCTTTCATCTTCCCGGAGCAATCAGCAGCGTGGGATACAAATGATCACTCTCTTGTCCTGCTCCCAGGATCTTACCCCATCCATGTTCCTGCTACATGTCAAGTTGGCTTCTCTCCTTCTCTCACACTTTGTATCCAACGCCTCAGGAAATCCTTGGGGTCCACCTTAAAAATATATCCAGGATACGACCACCTCTCACCACTCAGGTCCAAGTCACATCCACCTCCACCTGGATTACTGCAATATATTCCTAACAGGTCTCCTTGCTTCCAGCCTTCTATGATTTTGTTGAGAATAGTATTAAGGGAACTCTTAATACTATTCTCAACAAAATCATCAGCGTGATGTTGCTGAAATGTTAACTCAGATCAGGAAGCTCCTTTGCTCAAGACCCTGCAAGGGCTCCTCACTTCACTCCTTATGTTGGCTTTAGTCCAGACACCATCTGCCCCCCAACTTCTCCCCCTTGTTCATTCTACTCCAACTAATCTGACCTCCCTGTTTTTCTCAAATTCTCCAGACACATTCTCACCATAGGGCTTCTATACTAGACATACATGCCTAACTCCCTCATTTCCTTCAAATCTTGACTCAGATGGCACTCCATCCGTAAGGTCTATCTGGACAGTCCTATTAAAAACTGCAATATCCCCAACTCCTGCTCCTCTTTGTTTTCTCTATTTTTTTCCATAGTACTTATCACCTTTTAACAGTCTATGTAAGTTATATATATAGTATATATATTATTTAATGTCTTGCTTGTCTCCCAAAAGAAAGTGAACACCACATAAGCAAAGATGTTTTTGCCTGTGATATATTCCAGGTGTCTGGGAGAGTCTAGTTCAGAGTCGGTTCTAAATAAATATTTACTGGAAGAATAATAATTTTAGTAGTTATTACTGGTACATTTTGTTTACTATGCTGAGGTCAAATCTACCTGTAAGTGTTTACACTTGTTTTTGTGAAAGTTGTCTGTTCTACCTTCTAATTATATACCGTGTTTTCCTTTGATTCTTCCCATTCTCCTACAAATCTCCATCTAACAGTTGTAATAGACTGAGATAGTTGGTGATGACATTATTTTGAGTTCTCAAAAATTGTTTTACTCTGATGAGACTTCAGGTTGAGGGACAGAAGAGAATCTGAGTAAGTAGAATTTTAGGGTATTTACAATTCTTTAGCAAGTATTGTGACTGATTAGATACTAAAACTGTACTTGGTGTCACCGAATCTTTTTTTTTTTTAATCTTTCTAAACCCATTTCAACCCTGGCCAGTTTGGCTCAGTGGTTAGAGGGTCTGCCCACGGACCAATGAGTCACGGGTTCAATTCCAGTCAAGGGCACACACCTCGGCTGTGGTTTGTCCCCGGCCCTGGTCGGGTCGTGTGACATGGAGGCAACTATCACATCGATATTTCTCTCTTGTCTTTCTCTCTCCTTCCCTCCCACTCTATCTGATGATAAATAGAAAAATATCCTCGGGTAAGGAATAAAAAAATAAAAAATAAACCCATTTCATTTTTTCTGTATTATCAATTTAAATTAGTTATAGCTCAGTGACTTTTATACTGTAGGGTGCTCAATAATTGTTCGCTGAACTGAATTCAGTCCTGAGAAGCCAACTGGATAGTTCAGGCTTTTCAGAATTATTTCTATTCTATATAAATTTCACTTAAGAAAAGAATTACAAATACAATTTTGTCCTATAATTTAAAATGTTACTAAATCTTCTGGAATCTCTGAGATATGTTTTCACTGTTTTTTTTCCTCTAGTATCAGTAGATAAGGCAAACATTTTAAACATGTACCAAAGCTTATAAAAAAATGTACTGAGGGCTTACTTTGTTCCTCAACAGAAAAAAACTAGAGAACAAGTTTTAATGATCCCAGGATCAAGTTACATGCACATAATATACACTACTCAACACCATGTATAAAAGCAGGGAGGGCACTGGCCAGTTTGGTTCAGTGGTTAGAGCATCAGCCTGCAGACCGGAGGGTGTCAGGTGCAATTCCCAGTCAAGGGCACACTCCTGGCTTGCAGGTTTGATCCCTGGCCCCCCATCGGGGTTGTGCGGGAGAAGGCAACCAGCAGGTGTTTCTCTCTCTCTCTCTCCCTCTCTCCCCCTCCCTCCTTTCCAATCTATCTAAAAACCAATGGAAAAATATCCTTGGGGGGGAGATTAACCAAATTAAAAAAAAAAAAGCAGGGAGGACCTATCATTTTTCTAACAATAAAGCAGAGATTCGAATCAAACAAAACAAAGATCATTCTCTTTCTACCTTTAAGGGACCAAGAGAGATTTTTCTTTCCAGGTGACAGAGTTTCAAAAGAAACTAATCGGGAACACTACCAGGTCCAGGAGATAGAATGTGCAGTAACTTTGGAGGGTTCAGGGGTAAAGAGGTGGCACTGTTAAATAACCATGGAGGGGGTGAAATGCTGGCACAAAACTGAGTATAAGAAGAGCATTATGTGCCTAAGGAGCTTTAGTATTCCATATCCACCTGCACACCTCAGTCATTCTGAACAATTTCCAAGATGAGGGATCATTTCACTTCCATGTGATGCTGGACAGAAGGGATCTTAGTACTGAGCAAACTGAGGACTAGGAAATAACTTTCTAGGCTTAATAAACATGCAGAAAAACAGGCAGAACAACCCTAACTGGGCTGTTCAAATTAGAGCATCCAACTTAATATGAGGTTGGACTGAGGAACACCCCACCCCAGCAGAGACATAAACTTATATTTAAAATAACCCAAAATTTTCCAATGAAAATCTTAAGTTATCCCTGTCCTAATTTGATTAAAATCTAACAGAAACAAGGAAAAAAACACTAAGAGGAGCAATCAGATCCGATCGCCACCTGGTACTTTCCAGTTAGCAAAAGAAACAGAGCACAAATGAAACCTTCAGGAAAAAATGTAGAAAGGAAACTCGCCTTTAACTAACTCATTGTCCAAACTTAACACCTAGTCATCCTGGAAATCAGAACCCTTAGAATTTAACAAGGGCCCTTTGCTAATGCCAGACAAAGATGTCCCAGGTACAATTAAATAGCTTTGTAGCCGCTCAATTAAATGGTCTTGAATGTGCCGTTTTGTTTGTCCCTGACGCACGTCTCTCATGCTTTCACACTGGTGATCCCTGAAAGCAGTATTAATTCAACAGGAACCACAGCCAAAGAGCTCACCCCACGGCAGGATAAGTCATCTTTTGTTCTTTTTAAAAGTGGGATCCACTGGAGGAAAAAATAGTTAAGTTAAGCTACTTAATTTGAGTGGGAGAGATTTTTTTTTTTTAACTGTTGGATTTTATTTTTTGATTCCCAGGGTAACTTTCTAATAAAATAATAAAACTCTTCTCAAAATGGCATGTAGAGAATAGGACCTTTTAATCAGCAGATGTTAGGGACAGAAAAGCGGGGGGGGGGGGGGGGGGTGGAATAAAATCTATTTAAACGCGAAGTGTCTTAAAATGCCAAGAAATAGAGAAAGAGGAATTCTCTATGCTGATTTTTAAGGCAAATAGAAAATACATATAATGTAGGAAAATATACTCAGTGAATTTTATTTGGGCCATACAAGTATCCTTCATAATCATTCTTAGAAAGTATCTGACTGAATTTGAGAAATGAGGCATGGAAGAAAAAGATTTTTTCTACATGTCATTACCATAAAAATACATGTAATCTGTGACTCTGTTTTTATTCAATCTCCCTTTTGTGAGCTGGCAACTCCTATTTGTTAGCTGGAAGGGAATTTAAATAAAAACGCTGAGTTAAGTGCAATTAAAGAGGATGAATTTTAAGTTCATTATAAAGCTCATTATAAAACTACCGTGGTTACTGGGTCTCAGAAAGGTCCAGTTTCACAGAAGTGCATCTGAAATGTTGACTCCAGTAGTCCTCCCTGATAGTAAGAGGGCACAAGCAGTTACCTCAGGATGAGAATCACTGGTTTATGTTTTCAGTTAAACATAGAGCAATGCATTA